GCTATTGAACAAAGGAAGGAGGGAAGGATCGTGAATGTCTCATCAAGACGTCATAAATTATCATATCCTGAAGGGATTAGATTTGATAAAATTAATGATGAATCAGGGTAACGACACTGTTGAATTTTTTAGCTTTATGTGTTCCCCTCAGCTCACCCCCTTTTCATTGGTAATTACTAACCAATATTTTGTCATTTACTTATCAATGTACAGGTATAACAGTTTGTCTGCATATGGGCAGTCAAAGCTTGCCAATGTTTTGCATGCCAATGAGCTTGCCAGACGGCTTAAGGTGACCAACTTAATTGATGTTATTGATTGTGTTATGTTATATCTGCAGGGAGGATGCAGCCTTGGTGGCTTGAAATTTATTTCTTTGTTTCTGATATTTATTTGACATGTAAAATGAGCTCATGTGATGTGATATAACATAAGGCTCAATTTGGCTTTACCTTTAGTTTATGCATGATCTGACTGCAAGTGTGCCCCCATGAATTGTTTGTTTCACGCACTAAATGATCTAGCCAGAAGAATGTATGAGTGGACCTTTGTCACAAACAACTCAAACTCATATGGATGATTTTGTGGGGAATCTAATATGGTGTAACTGGTAAATGAGAAGCTTGGTGCCTTATGTCAAATCCCTGAATAAGAATTAGTCATGTACATGTTAAGATGTCCTATGCTAAATAAGATGTGCTGCATGATCGTTTACTCAGATATCAAATAATTCATGTATATCCGTGAGCATATTTGTTTAGATTCGTATTGAATCATATTCACCTACTGCTACCATTTACCTCATCTATGAGGTTTTTCCAATCACAAGTTGCACCTATTTCTGTTATTTTGAAAAAGCATTTTCCTATTTCTGGAAATATCATCATTATCAAAAGGTTAAAGCAACACATAACAGAACAGTCACCATGCTACTTGATGTTTACTTGTAGCAGGAAGAGGGCACAGAAGTAACTGCAAACACAGTTAGCCCAGGACCAATTGCCACCAGTCTATTTCGTCATCACAGTTTAATAGATGGTAATTCCTTTTTAGTTTGGTGTTTTTGTTTTATTTTTGTACGTGAAGAACTACATCTGTCATTGATTATGCATGTTATTACATTCTGGTCTATATATTTTTACTTTCTGATGAGGTCCAAGATTATAAAAACATTTCTATTGAGGTTTCAATCATTACCCTTTCTCAACCATCCATTAATCCAGTTCTAAGGTGACAAAACTGTGTGGCGATATGTCAGCTGTTAATATGAATCTAGCATGACAGTATGTAACAAATAAAGAGAAGAAATCTTTATTATATTCTACCCTCTTCTTGAAACAGCGTGTTCCTAAGAATGTAAGTGAATTGTAGTTGTTTAGCTTGTTATATTGACAGTTTGCTCCTACTTTTATGCAGTGTTTGTTGGTCTACTTGGTAAATATGTGATGAAAAATATCCAGCAGGTAAGCTTATTGCGTATTTGAAACACAAGANATTAGCAATTTAACGAATCAAAATTTTGATTTAGTAGTTAAATGAGTAAAAAGTACAACTATAACACTTTTTTTGAAATTTTACAAGACAATTTTATTATTGAAATGTAATTTTTATGAAAAAGAATTCAAGAAGCATTAAGGTAATGTATTTGAAGGAGGAGGAGAGACAAATTATAAAAAAAAAATAACTAATCACTTCAATTTTATATTTATAAACTACCATACACTTGAACCTCAATCCATGGAACAAATAAAACTTTCAAGAACATATTATTAATTTACTAATTTTCAAGAAACTGAAAAGTTCATACACATTTAACAATTATTCAATCTACAAAACTTTTGTACAATGAAATGCATAAAATTTTAAAATGAAATAGTAAAATATGTAAATTTCATAATTTCGTAACAAAATTCACGGGCGAAAAATATGCTGAAAAAAAATAAATTAAACCTTGGTCAATAAATCTCATTTGAGTATGTTATATTTTCTTCAAAAAAGCTTAGTATTTTTTTAAAAAAAATATATGAAAAAAATACTTATCTTGGTAATAATTCAGAATTTTCAAAGACGTTTATTCTGTTCTTGTACGTCAAAATGTATAAAATGAAGACGATTTTGCTAAGTGTGATTTCGAACGAAGCAAGAAATTGAAGTGAAACGCAGCACAATACGATTGTGTGAGCTTCAGTTTGAACAGGGATAAGAGAAAAAAAAATGTGGTGGTTGGGAAGAAAAGGACCTTCTGGATTCTCAGCTTATTCTACTGCCGAGGAAGTTACTCAGGGAATTGATGCCACTGACTTCACTGCCATTGTTACAGGTTATTATGAATAGAAAATGAAAATGGGTTTCCTTTATTTGTTTTGTTCTTCCTTAATTTACTCATTAGTGCTGTTTTTCTTATGAGATGCAAACTTGCCCTTTTAAAAATTTAAACTTTATTTAAATGGGTATATGCTTTCAATCAATATGTTTCCAATTTTCAACCTTTTAGGTTGAGATTTTTGTTTTGTTGAAGTGGAACAGAGAGGAAGAAGAAGAAAAAGAAGAAATGCTATAGGTTTATTGTCTTGATGGTTATTGAGCAAGATTTCACTTTCTGTCTTTATGATTATGCTTGAGACATGCTTGAGACATGCTTGTATTAATCAATCATTGTTGGAGAATTACGCTTCTATGTCTTCTCAACAACGTTTAAATTTTAGTTGCAGTGATGGTTCTTCCTGATGGGGTTTTTGAGGGAGTTTATTGAGAGGAAATTACATATATGACCTTAGTCCAACCTAAAGGGACTGAAAATACTTTTAATTCAAAACCTAAGTCTGACAATTGGATTATTCTCAGCAATTTTTCTTGGTGAGTCTATATTTTTCCATGGTGATCTTTTCGAGAAGTTCAATAGGAAGAGATTATATATATATATATATATATGTGTATGTGTATGTATGTATATATATATATACGTATATATGTATATATATGATTTTAGTCCAACCTATAAAATGATTCCCATCATTTTTAATTCAAAATATCGAGGTATTGAGTTTATAGTTTTTTTATTTATATAGTATTTAATTTTGTCATTTCTAACAATATGAGATTTAAATTTATACTTAGATTATCTCTAACACTTCTAGAATCATTTAGTGGATTTGTCAGAATCATTGAAATTGTAAAAAATTGTGAATAAAGTGCTGTGGATGCGGTAACAATTGCAGTTGTGATCAAACCCCAGAATCCTTGATGTTGCGGCTACATTTACATTTTTATATAATGATATTGTTATTATTGTGGTTGCTTTTCCCTGTAAAATATTTAGTTGTGAGTGGCTGTGTCTAGAATGTTGTTCTAGATATGGAAAACACATGTTGGTGGAATTAATTCATCATCATGGTGCTCAATATGTGTAATGTTTGTCGTTTTCTGCGTTTTTTGACGCAAGAGATTTGTTATCATTGTGTGATACATGTTATTTCAGGGGCAACAAGTGGTATTGGTGCTGAAACTACACGCGTGCTTGCATTACGCGGTGTTCATGTTGTTATGGGGATCAGAAATATGGCAGCTGGGGGGGAGATCAAGGAAAGAATACAAAGAGATAACCCATCTGCAAAAATTGACATGATGGAGCTGGACCTTAGCTCACTGGAATCAGTTAGGAAATTTGCAGCACAATTCAAATCTTGTGGTCTTCCTCTGAATATACTTGTGTATGTTACTACTTTCATATGTGCTCTTTGAATTGAAGTTTTGGTGTTTTCTGTGACTTTAACCGTTCATCAAAATGCTGTTTGCTTGAAGAAAGCTAGATGGTAAATTTCAACATAAGCTGTTGTATACACTGAAAGTTATTTGTTTCTGTTCAAAGTAATAATGCAGGAATCATGGCAACACCATTCAGGCTCTCCAAAGACAATATAGAACTACAATTTGCAACAAACCATGTAGGTTAGAATTTCATCTTAAACCTTACGAAGACAATACACACACAAATATGGAATTTGATTGATTGTTATACTCGTTGGGATTGAAACAATAATTGTTTCAAATTGTCATATAAAAAGATGCCTAGTATACTTCCATATCTCAATTTCATAAGTTAGAATTTATGAATTTGTAAATTTTATCAATTTAAATTCCTTTTTTTTTCGCCTGAAATTATTTAATTATAGTATAGTATTGAGTTGTATACAGGAATATTACCTTGTCCCTTTTCTAGGGGAATTTGAGATATAAGGTTCCCTTTGCAGGTCATTTTCTTTTGACAAACTTATTGCTTGAAACAATGAAACAGACAGCTATTGAACAAAGGAAGGAGGGAAGGATCGTGAATGTCTCATCAAGACGTCATAAATTATCATATCCTGAAGGGATTAGATTTGATAAAATTAATGATGAATCAGGGTAACGACACTGTTGAATTTTTTAGCTTTATGTGTTCCCCTCAGCTCACCCCCTTTTCATTGGTAATTACTAACCAATATTTTGTCATTTACTTATCAATGTACAGGTATAACAGTTTGTCTGCATATGGGCAGTCAAAGCTTGCCAGTGTTTTGCATGCCAATGAGCTTGCCAGACGGCTTAAGGTGACCAACTTAATTGATGTTATTGATTGTGTTATGTTATATCTGCAGGGAGGATGCAGCCTTGGTGGCTTGAAATTTATTTCTTTGTTTCTGATATTTATTTGACATGTAAAATGAGCTCATGTGATGTGATATAACATAAGGCTCAATTTGGCTTTACCTTTAGTTTATGCATGATCTGACTGCAAGTGTGCCCCCATGAATTGTTTGTTTCACGCACTAAATGATCTAGCCAGAAGAATGTATGAGTGGACCTTTGTCACAAACAACTCAAACTCATATGGATGATTTTGTGGGGAATCTAATATGGTGTAACTGGTAAATGAGAAGCTTGGTGCCTTATGTCAAATCCCTGAATAAGAATTAGTCATGTACATGTTAAGATGTCCTATGCTAAATAAGATGTGCTGCATGATCGTTTACTCAGATATCAAATAATTCATGTATATCCGTGAGCATATTTGTTTAGATTCGTATTGAATCATATTCACCTACTGCTACCATTTACCTCATCTATGAGGTTTTTCCAATCACAAGTTGCACCTATTTCTGTTATTTTGAAAAAGCATTTTCCTATTTCTGGAAATATCATCATTATCAAAAGGTTAAAGCAACACATAACAGAACAGTCACCATGCTACTTGATGTTTACTTGTAGCAGGAAGAGGGCACAGAAGTAACTGCAAACACAGTTAGCCCAGGACCAATTGCCACCAGTCTATTTCGTCATCACAGTTTAATAGATGGTAATTCCTTTTTAGTTTGGTGTTTTTGTTTTATTTTTGTACGTGAAGAACTACATCTGTCATTGATTATGCATGTTATTACATTCTGGTCTATATATTTTTACTTTCTGATGAGGTCCAAGATTATAAAAACATTTCTATTGAGGTTTCAATCATTACCCTTTCTCAACCATCCATTAATCCAGTTCTAAGGTGACAAAACTGTGTGGCGATATGTCAGCTGTTAATATGAATCTAGCATGACAGTATGTAACAAATAAAGAGAAGAAATCTTTATTATATTCTACCCTCTTCTTGAAACAGCGTGTTCCTAAGAATGTAAGTGAATTGTAGTTGTTTAGCTTGTTATATTGACAGTTTGCTCCTACTTTTATGCAGTGTTTGTTGGTCTACTTGGTAAATATGTGATGAAAAATATCCAGCAGGTAAGCTTATTGCGTATTTGAAACACAAGAACAAAAAAACCTTATCACACTGTGAGATAAACTATAATTACTTACATGAAATAATAAATAAAGGTGGTGGTGGAAATTTGAATGTATTATATTTTATCACTAGGAAAAATCTTTGTTGAGACAGGTTTGTCAAGTTCTTCCTTATTAGATTACAATTTCATCATATCTGTATTTGTAATGATCAAACTCGTCAAGTTGGTAAATGAATTATGACAATCTCGTATATGACTTAGTTATCATAGTAAATTGCTTAAGGATGTTGTCCTTTATCATAAAGTTATCTAGTATGATTTTCATCCTTTATCACCTAAGATATACTTATTTGCTTTGAACATAGGGAGCAGCAACTACATGTTACGTTGCATTGCATCCACAGTTAAAAGGGTTGAGTGGCCGTTACTTTGCGGATAGTAACTTAGCTGAAGCAAGTTCACAAGCAGTTAATCCAGAGCTGGCAAGGAAACTGTGGGAACATAGCTCAAATTTGGTCAAATCTTGATATTATGTTACCTAACCAATAGGGACTAATATATGACAGTTTCTTCCTTCATCTTATCAAATTTCTCCTTGCACCCCTGAAATATGTTTCCGAAATTGATTTAGTGCGTTCCAAAAAATAGAATCTGCCCCTAATATATAGTCACAATTATCAGACGTAAGAATGATCCATTAAAAATTGAACATGTTAGATAAATAAGTGAGTTGATATCTTATCATAGCTAGACTCTGACAAGAAATTCCAATTAATGTGAGATGTATCTACAGGTATCTGATTATGTTCCAATTTCACATGGCTTAAAAGTAACGCAACTTTATCTCTGGTGCGCTCATTTGAGGATTAATCATGTAATTGCTGAACATATTCTTCTGCACTAATAAGGTTCCTATCATCCCTTTTGGCAACTCTTATATCTTGGAATCTATACTCTTTTTTCAAATTTTAAAGTAATTAATTTTAGAATTAACTATGTTTTCGGTCTTTAAAATATAACATATTTTATAGTTTGATGTTAAGTTTCATATTTAAGAAATATATGAATGTTGTCCTTTTTGTCTAACGGTTTTATTCATATTTAAGAAATATATGAATGTTGTCCTTTTTGACTAACGGTTTTATTCTTCATATATAACATTTTATTTTTCATATTGAAAATATATATATATATATATATATATATATATATATAATCTCTAATAAAAACTAAACACATAAGTTTTATTAATTCGAAGAATTAAACAAATTAAAATTCCCTTTTCGCCATTAGCTTAGTGGCTCAAAAAACATAGAAATTAAGGAGGTCAGACCGCAAAAAGTAAACTGCCTCAAAGTGAGGCTATTTCTTCCTGCACCTCCGTACATTTCGTTCTGCACTCTTATAGATTTGTGAAAATATCTATTTGTCCTTATTCCTGTTTCATCTCTTTTTTCCTTCCCTACCCTTCTTCATCTTATTAAAAAATAAATTTTGCATTGGATAATTTGAAATGTATTTTTTATTTTGTATTTTAAAATACACAATCCTAAATATAAAACTTATATTTGAGATTATTTATTTCAAAATTTATATTTCAAATTATACATTTCAAAATATTTATTTTAAATTGTGTATTTCAGAATAAAAAATAAAAAATACATTCTGAATTACAGAATCAGAATAGGACTATGAATTCAAAATGTATTTTTTTTTATTCCAGAATGTAGAATTTAAAATATAAATTTTATATTCTAAATTGTGTATTTTGAAATACAAATTTAATATTTCAAATTGTCTATTATATAATATCTCTATATTCTGAAACTCAAAACTCAAAATAAAAATATTAAACTAGATTTTAAAATAGAAATTTTCAAATGTGTATGATGAAATTATAGAGATGCAGAAAGAAGCTGCCCAAAAGTACCTAAATCA